CCCAAGACGCTACAGCTTCGACACAGAGCAGACAGCAGACTACGACCGCATCGAGCCGCCATGCTCTCGCTCCCTGAGTTCAGACTCTCACAATTCTCAATCGAGCCGCCACGCTCTCCCACATAGAGCTCCACGACTCCGGCCTCACTCAGCTTTCTGCTCTGCTCCAGGCTTCGTCTCAACGTCTACGACACTGCTGTATCCAGGACTACTAAATAAATATGAAACTCACTAAACACTATGTATCTAATCAACCCAACAACGTAGCATAATGGTACGTTACAGACCCCTACCTCGGCTATCCACCCTCAGTTCTGAGGCTGAATGTCGAAACACACGAGAAAGAGAAAAAAAACACAGATTGGAAGGGAGGGAGGGAGGGATGCTGAGGAGTCTCTGGGTCTCACCCAGAAAATGGCATTTCATTACATTCAATGCTGGTCTTCTCGGGGGAGCCCTTTCAGCTCCCCGGAGCTACTTACCCAAAGATAAAAATAAAAGGGGGTTTAAACCGGGAGGCGGTCGGCACCCACTCCTCAACGCGAAGTCGAGACAACTGGCTACAACTGACGACCCAATGCAACACAGGCCAGACTAGGCCCAGGAACACTGGCCAGGTAGCGCGCAGCCAGGACCCTGTTCATCCGCCAAAAACAAACTGGACCAAAAGAGCAGAAACCCCTGCGCCAGAGAAGAGTATGAAGCTCCCTGATCCAACCCTCAGCGGCCAATGCCAACAGGACAAGAGCCTTAGAGAAACAATCCTGAACTAAAAAGGCCACCACAAACCGAGAAGAGAGAAAGTAGAGGACTCAATCCAAAGACCAGGACAGCTCAGGCAGAGCATGAGCAGGTCGGAGGTAAAACAATGCACGAGAAAGCTTGCAGAATGGCACAGAAGTAACATCAACACAGAATGCAAGCAGAAGCAACTCCGCCAGAGCCGCACGATAAAAGGCGACAGTACCAAGAAAGCAGCGCCTGAAACCAAGGCTGGCCCGGCCACCAAGGGGCCAAGAGGACTACTCTCCCCTGGTAACTCTCCAAGTGAGCCAGGACCTGGAGCAACAATTGAAACAGGGGGGGAAGAGGTACAGAAACCCCCCACCTCCACCAGTCCTGCCTGAAGATGTTGACCCCGACGGCCTCACAGTCGGGAAAGGGCGCCACATACATGAGGAAATGCCTTGACCACGCTGATGCAGAGATCCATCTCTGGGAGCCCAAACAATTGGCAGGGTCAACTGAAGGAGTCGGCGTCGACCGTCCATTCCGTGGCCAGGGGAATGAACCAGGACAGGCCGTCCACCAAGACGTTGGACACCCCCTTCCCCCAACATAAAAGGCCAGGATAGTCAAACCCCGAGAACTCAGCAGACAAGTCATTCGAAGTGACCAGCTTCAAAGAGCCAAGGACTGTGCCGAACTCTCACAGTTCAGACAATGAACCACTGGGGAGCAGTCCGAATGAAGCCGGATCATCGATCCGCAAGTGACCTGAACCCTCTGGAACAATATCCACACCGCCGCAAATACCCGCATAGTGCTGTGGGCCCGATGGAAGGACAAACCCCACTGCTCCTGGCCAGACTGGTGAGCACTGGTCACAAAGCCCCAGCCAAAAGATGACGCGTCCGTGAACACATCAAGCGAGGGATCGGGTAAGCACCAAGGCACTTAACCCCGAAAAACCAGTAGAGGAAGCCGGCGACGCAGCAGCTGATGCACGGTCTCCAGAGGCCAAACCCAGTGATCGCGAAAAGGCAGAAGGGACAAATCCGAAGGAACCAAAACAGCTGACTAAGCCACACCCGATTCGGCGGGTAGACCGTCACGGCATAGTTCAGGCTCCCGCACAAAATCTGGGGCAATCGCCGGGTGACCCAGAAGCCCCCCCCCCAGAAACAAGCTAGGGTGAGACCGCAGCTGAAACATAGACACCTGAGTGAGAGACAGGGAAGCGGTCCGAGAGTCCTGCACAAGACCCAGCCAAGACCGAACCTGAGAGGAAACCAAATGGTACTTTCGCCAGTTCATCAGGAACCCGAACCCGGCAAGCTGAGAAAGAACCGAATTCCTGCCGAGCAGACACACGGACTGGCTGGGAGCCCACACCAGCCAGTCATCAAGGTAGGCTAGGACCCGAACTCCAGAAGATACAGACGGGCCATCATGACCCGGGTAAGGCGTGTGAGCATGCGAGGTGCCAGGTTCAAGCCGAATTGAAGGCAACGAAAGCGGTAACTGTGATGCCCCACAACAAAACTAAGCCAGAACCCGAACCCTGGATGAATCGGGACATGCCAATAAATATCCCGGAGGTCCAGAGACACCATCCAAATGCCTGACTCCAAGAGAAGCCGGACCTGGGATAGAGTAGTCATCCAAAAGGAGGGGCACTGAACTCAGGGGTTCAGACGGGACAAGTCCAGAATGAATCTCAGGTCCGCACAGTTCTGTTTCGGGACTGGAAACAGATGGGTAACCCATCTGATGGATGTAATCGTTTCAACCACGCCCAAGCAAGAACGCCCAATCCTGCAAGAATCAAATAGAGAGAAGGATCTGGGGGTTGATATCACACCGAACCTGTCCCCAGAGGCCCACATCAAAAGAATATCATCAGCGGCATATGCTAGACTGGCCAACATAAGAACTGCCTTCAGAAACTTGTGTAAGGAATCTTTCAGAACCCTGTATACCACTTATGTAAGACCAATCCTGGAGTATGCAGCTCCAGCCTGGAGTCCATACCTAGTTAAACACAAGACAAAGTTAGAGAAGATTCAGCGGTATGCCACCAGGCTCGTCCCGGAACTGAGAGGATTGAGCTACGAGGAAAGGCTAAAGGAGCTGAACCTCACATCCCTGGAAAACAGAAGAGTAAGGGGAGACATGATAACCACCTACAAAATTCTCAGGGGAATTGACAGGGTGGACAAAGACAAACTCTTCAGCACGGGTGGGACACGAACAAGGGGACACAGGTGGAAACTTAGTACCCAGATGAGCCACAGAGACGTTAGAAAGAATTTTTTCAGTGTCAGAGTAGTTAATAAATGGAATGCACTAGGAAGTGATGTGGTGGAGGCTGACTCCATACACAGTTTCAAATGTAGATATGATAGAGCCCAGTAGGCTCAGGAATCTGTACACCAGTTGATTGACAGTTGAGAGGCGGGACCAAAGAGCCAAAGCTCAACCCCAATTAGGTGAGTACAATTAGGTGAGTACAAGCACATCCACTCCAAGATGAATTGACAGAGCACATGAGAAGCAGATTCCACGGAGGTAGAAAGCACCACCTGCTGACACACGTGACAAGAAGCATAGAACAGAAAAACTGAATCTCGCAGAATCAGAGCGAACAGCTTCAGCGAGGCAGACGACGCACAGGCCGCCGATACCAGAGCACCGGACTTGGGGATGTTCCCAAGTGCCTCCACATCCTCCGGAAGCCAATCCGTGGACAGCTCAAGGAGGGAAAAGAACCGCAGGACCGAAGCCATCTGGCCCCGAGTGCGCAAGTCCTCAGGAACCAGCACACCCAAAAAGAGAAGGAACCTGCATGTGAAGTTGCATCATACCAACATCCTGAGGAAGGGCCGGGGTGAACAAGCACGCACTGACTTGCTCAAACTCGCCCAATGTTTTCCTTCAGGAAAACCTGGACCACTTTCCCAGACTCCCGCCACTCTAGCGTGCAGGACCAACAGAATGCATGCCACGCCTCCAATAAGAAAACAGGCCAGTCTACAAGCCAGGAGCACTCCAAAACCTCATAACGAACCCAGTGAGGACACAAGAATGCAAACCTGAATGAAAGCGGATCCATTGCGAAGGTATAATCCGGGTCGCGCAGACGGTAAGCAGCAATGGCTTCTCGTACCGCCTGAAGCGGGAAGCGGAAAATCAAAAACTTCCGGAAAAACGGAACTGACAGACCCGAAGGGACACGGAACCGAACCCAGGTAGGGACCCAATCCAAGATGTACGCGGAGGGAGGGGGGAGGGGGGGAAGAAAACCCCATTCCTCATAACAGTAATATAAAATAGACTTGTTTGTCTATTTTAGTCGTTTTAGCCAGAATAAAGGTTTGTTTTGAGGTGCCTGGCCCAGTTGATGGCAGATATAGAATGCTCCAAATCCCGTGTGCATTTCTATGGGCCAAATGCTCCTCATGCCCCTGAAGGTTTTTCTTGAGATGATTGATTTGATTGGAGCCAGGGGGGGGGGGGCAGGTTCTGGCTGATTTTTCCCAGTAGGCCAAGAACTCCAATCACACTAACTGATGCCAAAGTCTAATGATATACAATATCAGCCTGGATAGCTCCAGGGAGCCAAAGGGGCTCTCCCCAAAAAACGTTTGTCCAATACCAGGGGTCGACTTGTCTGCCGAATATAAAATGTGAAGCTTTACCACCGAGAGCTAAACAAATGAAACGCCAGACCTAAAACTTGTTGTGCACCACTTGCCATAACTCTCACAGCCCAGGAAGGAAAGGAGGGAGTAAGTCAGGGAGGAAGACAGGGAGGAAGTCAGGGAGGGAGGCAGGGAAGAATGGATCCAGACGGGCAGGGAGGGAGGGAGGCAGGCGGACTTCAGGGAGGGAGGGAGGGAGGCAAGCAGGCAAGAAGGTAGGCAGTCAGGCAAGGAGGGAAGCAGGGAATGAAGGAGAGAGCCAATGGGCAGGAGAGCAGGCTGGCATGCATGGAGGGAGGCAGAGAGGAAGACTGGCAGGCATGGAGGATAATTTGATAAGTAAGAAGTATGTGTTAGAACAAATATTCATAGTGTAAGTATTTGTTAAGCAAAATTCATCTGTAGTGTTAATGATAAAACAAATTTCCCTTTTCTCTTTGGGTTGAAACAAAGAAATGATTAAATGACTAAAAATTTATTTACAAGAAAATCACACAATATTACAATGATTTCCTCTTTTGTAAGGTTCCATAATTAAGTTTACACCACTCAACCGGCAAGGATTGTTATATTTACCAATAGATGAGAGAGGTTGTGAGGCATCAGCAATGGTAATAACTGTACCCCCAAGATGATTAAGCGGGTCCTCCACATGGCCTCCAGATAGACTGATAAGGCCTCTGATGTTTTCAGCATGGGTTCTGGAGCCCTCTCTTCCACCAACATTCTTGGACACATCCTCCATAACATTGGCCTCAACAGAACAGCCATTTGTTGCTTCATCCTATTGGTTAAAAAATATTAAAAAAAAAATTATATAAAGTCATACATAAAAGGAAATAATTTACTATTTGAATGTTCTTGTTTACCTGTCTGTTAGGGAAGAGGGTATGTAATTGAATCATTGACGATAAGAGATTTGGACAAATCTGATTGGTCCATATTCTATTTTGAGGCCCTTTGCTTAGTCTAAAAGTGGCTCATATATATATGGCAGATATATATGTCAGATATCAAGTTGAATACAAAAAAATGTTGCCATAGCAAGGTGAATGTGCCAATATCTCTAAATAATGGCAATAAACCATCATTGAATGTAATGAAATGCATCTCTCTATGTAAGTTCTGGTGGCTCCCTTTAGCTATCTTGGTGAGATGGCTCCCAACTACCAGGTCACATCAGCCATGGGGTTGTGTTGGGCCTACTGAGGGCCAGAGCCAGAACCTCTGGCTTTCCTCACAGAAGCACACAGTGGTGGTGGTGACACTGCCACCCCACCAGGAAAGCATCCAGAAAGTCAACAAACCAATATAGACCACTGCTAGATTTAAAGAGACCAAAGCCTCAAAACTGCCAAACAAACTCCCCAACAATGCAAAGAAATTATAGCATCTCTTGAAACAAGAGTGAGCTCTTTAGCACTCCCTCCCCACCAGTGGTGGGGGTGGGAGGTGGGCCAAGAACTCAGTCCCCTCCAGCTTTCCTTGCCAGTTCTAAAGCAGATGTGCAGACAATTCCATCAACCAACAGCCTGAGGAGAAGGGAATCAGGGAGCCTGAATGAGCCCCTCCACAATGACCAGATGCAGGTGAGGACAAGCAGCCTGCCTTAAAAGCCCCGACCACCTGGAAAGATGGGAAGGACAGATGAACTCCACTGCAGGCCATGCAAAATTACCTGAAAAGCCTACAAATCATGAGATCAGGGATCAGCAAATCATGCAAGCTGCTCCCACCCCCCACCACTTCATCAAAGGGTCAAACCACAAAGGGGTTGATATGAACCATGACTAGTGGAAGCCCTCTCCAAAATGTGAGAACAGTGCCTACTAGTAAAAGATGAACCAACCACAGGAGGCAAGTACAACCCAGAATCTGGCTCCAATAAGGGCCTACCTCAACCAACAGCAGGTAAAGCCCTCCATTTTCGGGGTGAGACCTGGAGGCTCCCATGAGCTATCCAGGCTGATATGCATATAACATTAGACTTTGGCATCAGTCATGTGAATGGAGTTCTTAGGCCTACCGGGGACCATGAGTCAGAACCTGGCCCCCTCAGAGAGGCACTAGGAGCAACGCCCTATAGGAAACTCCCATGTGGTTGGAAGCATTTTATGTCTGCCATTAACCAGGTAAGGCACCCAGAAAGGTAAGTGCCTCAAAACAAATCCCTATTCTGGTTAAGAAAATGCTACTGAAAACTGAACTAGTGGACAGAACACTTCAAATGAAAGCAAACAAACGGGCCTGATGTCACCACGTCACCGTGCCGCTGTCTGCGCAACCCCACCCCCCCTCCCTGGGAAGGGGAAGGGAAAGCCCCAAACCCTCGGGCCGGCGATCCACACCCCAGTTCTGAGGCTGGATGTCAAAAACACACACAAAAAACGCTGACCGGAGGGAGGGAGGGTTGCTAGAGAGCGTCCAGGTCTCACCCAGAAAATGGCGTTTCATTACATTCAACTATGGTTTTCTGGGGGGAGCCCTTTTGGCTACTTACCAAAAGATAAAAACAAGAGGGACTTACCTGGGAGGCAGTCATTATTCGCTCCTCAACTCAAAGTCAAGACAACTGGATGCAACTGCCAACCCAAAGCGACACAGGCCAAACTAGGGCCATGAACAGTGACCAGGTAGCACGCAGCCAGGACCATGTTCGACCGCCAAAAAACCCTGCACCCGAATGTCAGCCCAAGACATGTTACTGAAGACGGCAGAAAGCGCAGCAAACTTATGAATGTCGTGGGCACAGGGATAGACTGCAGGCTGGCTGGACCAAATAACCCTGCGGACAACCTTGGAGACCCGAACCCTGCAACAGGGAAGAAGGAAAACCGGATCAACCCAACACGCGTCCCTGGACACTTAAGCTGTGGCGCGTAAATAACGGTGTAGAGCCGCAAGTGGGCATAACACATGATGCACCCTCGGCCTAACTAACTAAGCATCAACAACCCAAGGACCCCTATGGAAAGCAGCAGTCTCATTCTTCAGCTCCTTGCAAAAGGATAGGGTTGCAACCAAACAAATCTACCCCCAGGACCAAATGAGCAGAAACCCCTGTGCCAAAAGAGAGCATGAAGCTCCTTGACCTGACCCCCAGAGGCCAATGCCAAGAGGCAAAAGAGCCTTAGAAAAACAATCCTTAACCGAAGGGGGCCACTGTAAACTAAGGAGAAAAGAGAAAGAAGAGCACCCGTCCCAAAGACCAGGACGGCTCAGGTGGTGCAAGAGCAGGCCGGAGGTGAAACAACGAATGAGACAGCTTGTGGAATGGTGCCGAAGTAACATCAACCCTGAACACAAGCTGCAGCAGCAGCTTGCGTTCAGGGTATTGTGACAGTATTCTGTATAAGGTATGCCGCCAGTATTCGGCATAAGATGACGGTCCTGAAACATCCACGAGAGAAAGGACAACACCACAGCATCAAAAACCGAAATCAACCAACGAAAGGACAAGAAAAAATTGGAAGGACCACCAAGAAACTTCATACTGCTGCCGAGACAAAGCACGCAGGTGGGACACTAACGAAGCCACCTGATCACCATACAAGTGGTGATAGACTCGAGTCAAAAAGATCAGACGCGAAGACCCGAGGAGAAGATCGAACCAGCCACATAGTGGACCGGACCAATCTCCTGAAAGAGGCAGAGCCGCGGGAAGATCCCTGGGTTCGAACACAGACCAAGCAGCACCTGAAACCCAGGCTGGGCCGGCCACCAAGGGGCCAAGAGGACTACTCTTCCCTGGTAAGTCTCCAAGCGAGCTAGGGTCAGGAGCAACAGCGGAACCGGGGGGAAGAGGTAAAGGTAATCCCACCTCAATCAGTCCAACTCAATCAGTCGACCCCAATGGCCTCCCTGTCGGGAAAGGGCGCCACATATAATGGGAGTCACCTTGACCATGCCGACGCAAAGAGGTCCACCTCTGGGAGCCACATACATCCGGCAGAGCCAATGGAACAAGTCGGCATCGACCATCCATTCCGTGGACAGGGAAATGCACCGAGACGGGCTGTCCGCCAGGACGTTCCCCGAATGTGAACAGCCAGGAGAGCCAAACCCCAAGAACATGAGTCATTTGAAGTGACCAGCCCCAAAGAGCCAAGGACAGCAACGAACCCCCCCTTGGTTCAGGCAATGAACCACCAGGGAGCAGTCCGAAAGGAGCCTGATCATCGATCTGCAAGCAACCCGAACCCTCCGGAGCAACATCCACACCGCAGCGAATTCCTGCACTGTGCTGTGGACCCCGACTGAAGGACAGATCCCACCACCCCCTGGCTGGCCTGGTGAGCACTGGTCACAAAGCCCCAGCCAAGAGATGACACGTCCATGAACACGCCGAGCGAGGGTTCAGGGAGGCGCCAAGACATTCAACCCCGAAAACCTTGAAGAGGAAGCCGGAGATACGGCAGTCGACGCAAGGCCCCCAGAGGCCAAACCCAGCGATTGTGAGAGGTGGAAGGGACGTACCTGAAGGAACCAGAACAGCCAACGAAGCCAAACCCGAACTGGCGGGTAGACAATCACGGCAAAGTTCAGGCTCCCGCACAAACCCTCGAGCATCCGCCAGGTGACCCAACCCCTCAAAACTAAGTGAAGTTGGGATTTCAGCCAAAGCAGAGAAACTGGAAGGAGAGACAAAGAATAGGTCCGAAAATCCCACAAAAGACCCAGCCAAGTCAGAACCTGAGAGGGAACCAGATGATACTTACACTAATTCACCAGGAACCCGAACCCGGCAAGCTGGGAAAGAACCAAACCCCTGGCGAGCAGACATGCGGACTGGCTGGGAGCCCACACCAACCAGTCATCAAGGTAGGGTAGGATCTGAACCCCTAAAAGATGCAGGCGAGCCACCACGACCCAGGTAAGGCATGTAAATATGCGAGGTGCCAGATTCAAGTCGAACGGAAGGCAACGAGAACGGTAAACCTGACGCCCCACAACAAACCTGAGTCAGTCCCTGAACCCTGGATGAATTGGGACATGCCAATACGCTTCCCTTAGGTCCAGGGACACCATCCAAGCGCCTGGCTTCAAAAGAAGCTGCACCTGGGACAGAGTAGTCACCCGAAAGGAAGGGCAAAAGACCCCAGGGGTTCAGACGGGACAAGTCCAGAATGAACCTCAGGTTCGCACAGTCCCAGTGCAGGACAAGGAACAGATGGGAAACCCCACCTGTGGGACGTCCTCGTTTCGACCACGCCCAAGTGCAACCACTCCAAGATGACCCAATAGAGCGCAGGAGAAGAGGCCTGCCCCAGCAGCCTCAAACCCCGTGAAGGGGGAGGGACCACCCAACGCCACCTCAGGCCAAGGTGGCCACCTCAGGCCACCTTGGCCTGCGGTGGAAAAATCTGAAGGAACAGCCCTTCTGATTTTAGCACCAACACACCAATTTGGGTCAAAAGTCATCCATTGCTCAACCTCCTGTAACACCAAACCCCTGAAAGCCTGCCACACAAAAAACAAAACAGCGTTGAATGTAATGAAACGCCATTTTCTGGGTGAGGCCCGGGGGCTTCCCGGAGCTTATCCAGGCTGATATGCCAATGTCAGACACTTTAGCATCAGTCATGTATATGAAGTTCTGTGGGCCTACCGGGGACCACGAGCCAGAACCTGGCCCCCCTCAGAGAGGCATGGGGAGCAATGGCCTATAGAAACCCCTGTGGGGTTGGAAGCATTCTATGTCTGCCATCGACCGGGTCAGGCACCCAGAAAGGTAAGCGTCCCAAAACAAACCCCTATTCTGGTGAAAATTGCTACCAAAAGCTGAACAAGTGGATAGAACTCCCAAAAAAATAAACAAGCAAACGAGCATGACATCACACATCGCCGCGCCACTGTCTGCGCAGTTTCCCCTTCTCCGAGAGAGGAAAGGGGGAGCCCCAGACCGAGCCCCAGTTCAGGCGCTGGCTATCCACCCTTCAGTTCTGAGGCTGGATGTCAAAAGACACAATAAAAAAAATGCCGGAGGGAGGGATGCCAGGAAGCCTCCAGGTCTCATCCAGAAAATGGTGTTTCATTACATTCAACGCTGGTTTTCTGGGGGGAGCCCCATTGGCTCCTCGGCACTACCTACCCAAAGATGAAAACAAGAGGGACCTAAACCGGGAGGCGGAGAAAAGAAGGAGAGGGCCTCAAGCAAACAAATTTATCAGGAGAACCAAAAGAGCCGAAACCCAGGCGCCGGAGGAGGGCATGAAACACACCAACCCAACCTCCCAGAAGCCAACTTCAACAAGAAAAGAGCCTCGGAAAACAACTTGGAACCAAAGGGGCCACCACAAACCGAGGAGAAGAGAAAAGAGCATGCAATCCAAGAACCAGGACAGCTCAAGAGGCACAAGAGCAGGCCGGAGGTGAATCGCGCCAGAGACGGCTCGTGAAGCGGTGCCGAGGCAAATTCCAAAACTGAAGCAACCCGGAGCGGCTCCACCAGCGCTGCACGAGACAAGGTGACAGTATGTGGCAAGATGCCGGCTCCAAACCTCCACAAGAGAAGGACCAGACCACGCCAAGAAAACATAGCAAACCGACCAAGGGACAGAAAGAAAAAGGAAGGACCGCTAAAGAAAACCCCACACCGCCGCTAAGACGAAGCACGCACATGGGACACCATCAACGAAGTTACCTGATCACCAACAGATGGTGGGATACTTGAGGCAGAACTGAACCAGCCCCGCCATCGACCGATCGAGTATAGGAAGATGCGGAGCCGCGGGAAAACCTCGGGTGCGACCACCGAGCAAGCAGAACCAGAACCAAAGCCGGCAAAGAATGAGAAGGAACGTCTGCCGTACAGAAAACTTCTCAATGCCAGCGAGCTCGCCAGGAGATCGGAGACACTGTGGTCCTGATGCGAGACTCGTGCAAAAGCAGGGACCGGAACATGGACAAAGTCCAACCGAGCCCCCTACTCAGAGAGAACCCCAGCAACATCAAAGGACTGAGACTGTTCAACACACCTCCACGACACATAAGGGGCAAAACAGGCCATCCCTTCACAGTGACCACGAGAGAACTGGATCAACACCTCCAAAGGATACCTGAACAACCAGGCTGTAAGTAATAAGTCAGGATGCACACAGCAGCGTCAAACAGCCTGGGCGACAAGACCAGCAACAAGGAGGTCCTGACGACGACCGGGCCGTGGGGACGCCAAGCCCCGGAAACCCTGCAAGGCAACAGCAAGGCAGCAGTAGGTGTCAAGAAGCACATATGAAACCACACAAGGTGTAATGAGAGGGACGAGGGAACATCAGAACTATTACATCCCTTGACACTTAGTTAGCACAACACAAACAAGCGTAAACTAACTTCTACAGAGCTTCTCGCAGATGTCAAGCCCTGATGAGGAACTGACACGCAAAACAATCCAACTACCCCTCACATATGACCCCGCAGGTCAATCAACCTGAAGCGGATACAGGAGAACAAGCCAAACGGACTAGAAAAACAGCCCCAGCACCAGCAGCGAGGGACACGAGTGTAGAAGGAAGATGAGAAATGAGGAAAACAGGCAGCAACGGGAACGAAAGGGACAGGACCAACAACACAGAGGCCATGTCTGTGTCAGGCAAACGACAGCCGAGAAGCGGCACCAAAGATCCAAAGCTCAACCCCTGCAAGCACAGGTAGGTAAGGACAACTAGGTGAGCACAGAGAATCCAATGAATATGGAAGGGCTAAGCCAGGCACTACAAGACAGGCAAGGAGTGACCCAGATAAGACCACGAAAAACGGGGCCGTGACCCACCATGTAACAAACAACACAGACGAACAAGGAAGGCCCCAGGAAGAAGCAGGCCAGGGTCAAACAAAATGCCACAACCAAACCCCAACACGGAAACCCAGTATCAAGCCACAGCAAAATATCACCACATAACAGCCTGACCCAGTGTAACATTTACCCCATAACACTTACCTCCATCATTGTACCTCGTAACATGGCGAAGGTAGGGCTCCTTGATTGACTCAAGCATGTGATGAACATGTATATAAGTGGGACCGGATGGGTATAAATAAGAACTGCCTCGTATGGGCCAATAGGCCCACTGTAGTCACCTTGGTCATATGGTCGGAAATTCGTAGCCACGAACCAGGGGCCTGGCTGAAAGAGACACCAGACCTCATAAACTCACCTGCAAAACGAAGACACGAACATGGCATGACACAACGGAGCTGAGAGGAGTTCGGGAGCACCTCCAGAGGAAGAAGGCCAGAGCCGCACCCGCAGGAGAATAGTAGGGTAGAGGTGAAGGAGGCACCCCACACCCATATGCAGGGAAAACCCAGCATCCTTCCCATAGCGACAACCCAGAACACCCCCAGCATCTATGGGGCAATGACTGGAAGGACGAGAGGAGCAAGAGAGGCGAAGCACCCGAGAAAACAAGGACGCGGAACACCAGCACTTGTGTACACCGTCCATAACAAAACTAACTCCCACTGTGCATGCGCAAGATGCATGAGATCTGAACTACACAACCCCGCCCAGTGGGGAGGGCGCCAACAAGAAATATCGCAAAAAATTAGCAGTGCCTAGACAGAGCGCGGAGAGAAGAAAGTGACAAAAGAACGAGACAGTATAAAAATACATTAAGCATGGAAGAGGACCAACAAGTCTAAAAAGGACCGGAGGTAAGCCTCACTGGAAGACGACAGACGTTCCAATAATACGGAAAGAACCGAAGACCTTCCCGAACCCCTGAGAACTTACAAAAGCAAACAATATCACGAAGGCTCAGAAAGGCACAGTCGCACCCGAGACCAAAAGTCATGCAAAAATCCCGATAACAGGGGAACATGACCTCTCCATGATGAAGAAGTCCCGCCCCAGAGAAAAGAGGGTAGAAACGGAGAAAAATACCCACCGATAGGACGGAGCCGAATGGACCCGAAGGGACGAGGATCCGAACCCAGGGAGGGGCCGACGCCCAACAACTCGTGTGCAGAGGGGGGGGGGGGGGGACGAAAAACCCCACCCCGAGACCACCCGAGTCTCAAGACCAGCGAATCCCCGCCCCGACCCTGAACCCACAGATGGAAAGGATCCGGATGCAGGGAGGAAAAGGAAGGGGGGGAGACTAAACCACAACAGGGGAAAGATAAGGGGGGGGGCCAGGAAGGAACAAAACCGAAGCAACCAACACCCCCAAGCCCCGTCATAACCAAATACAGGGCAGCCTCAGGGCTTCCAGAGAGCAAACAACCTAGCGCGTTGCCACCACCTGAACTCAATGTGCAACACCCGTGCTGCCTGCACTCACACAGTCAGCATAAGACCGGATAACCGAGTCACAAACAACCAACAAAACTCGCAGGACTCTGGGTCGAAGGTGCCACCGACCCCACAGGCAGCAGACGGAGGCCAAAACAAAGCAAGTCACCCTGAAACACGGGGACAGAGCAACCCTCGAACTCGCACAAAGCGAGGGGGGGGGGGGACTCAGGGGTCCCATCCATCAGACCCACGCACCCCCATGGGGATTCCCAGGGTCCTGAAACGGAACTCACGCTCAGGGAAGCCCAGGCAGGGTACTGCTAACCGGTGCCCAAGTCTACCATACAACCTTTTAAAAACTTAACCCCCCGGACGTAAACACTCACGGGGACCTAGCAGGGGGCACCGCCAGAAAAAACCGTATTAGGTCAAATACCAAGGGGCAAGCAAGGCAGCCAACCCCCCCCCCCCCCCCAAGGCACAAACCAAAAAGAAAAAAAAAAAAACGCAAGAGGACAATGTACCCAAAGGAACAGAGCCGGCCGCTATGAAAGGTGTAAACAAGCTGCACAGCACCCTGCACCCCGTACCAGTGCAAACTGCCTCTTGCCCTAAGATAAACAAGGGAGACAAAACACCCAAGCACCCGAAGGTCAGCCGAATAACCAAGCAGTGAAACAGCCCAGCAGAGGTAGGACCCAAGGAACTTGTGGAAGGTAACCCCAAGCCTCAAGGGCAATACTTACAGGGCACCTAGGGAAGGGAACCCCTAGACGTATGCAGCCCGAGTACTATAGAATAACTCCTGGCTCTCACACCCCTGGAAGACAGCGACCACACTCTAAGCACAGTGCTGAAAATCACTGGAGCCAGAGCACATGACCTCTGCCTCTAGCATCAGCCTTAGAACTGAAGGGTGGATAGTTGGAACGAAGGTCTGGGGCTTCCCCTTCCCCCTTCCGGGAAGGGGGGAGCTGCGCAGACAGCAGCACGGCAACGTGTGACGTCATGCTCATTTGCTCGTTTCTTTTGGGGAGTTCTATCAAGTTGTTTGCCTTTGGTAGCAATTTTCACCAGAATAGGGGTTTGTTTTGGGACGCTTACCTTTCTGGGTGCCTGACCCGGTCGATGGCAGACATAGAATGCTTCCAACCACACGGCCTTTTCTATAGGCCATTGCTTCCCATGCCTCTCTGAGGGGCCAAGTTCTGGCTCGTGGTCCCCGGTAGGTCCGCAAAACTCCACACACGACAGATGCCAAAGTCTGACATTAGCATATCAGCCTGGATAAGCTCCAGGGAGCTGACGGGGCTCCCCACAGAAAGGGCCAGAGATGAAGATCAAATCTATTCCAGGAGAAGAAGAAATGAAAAATGACCTCCAAATTGTCCCACAAACACAAAGAAGGAACCAAATGGGAAACAAGCCTCCTGTAAGGAAATATTTCACTAATTCATTTCTGCTGACATTAAAAAACAATAACAGCTAAAAACTACATTACTTGTTCTTGTGCTTGCAAAACAATGACTGTGGGATTCTTGTCAGCTATAGCAGTCCCTTCCTGCTGTATGATGGGAACATCAGAGAGTGGGACAACACTTGCCTCCCCATCATCACGGATAACCAGTGCCCAACTTGAGCTCCCAGGCTTTTCCATCTGAAATATGTAGTTTATTTTATATCATTTTAAAAAATCAAGAGTTGAATGTAATGAAATGCCTCTTTCTGGAAGGTCCATCCATGATTCCCCAAGCTTCACACCAAGAACCTTCTAAACCTTAGGTAACAACCCGCTTCCAAAACATCATGAGTGCCTACCATTAAGCTAGTGACCACCACAAAGTCATTCTTGAATACATAGTGGCTAGTGACCTCTGCATTGTCATGCTTGAATACATAGTGGAGCTAGTGACCACTGCATTGTCATGCTTGAATACATAGTGGAGCAAGTGACCACTGCATTGTCATGCTTGAGTACATAGTGGAGCAAGTGACCACTGCATTGCCATGCTTGAGTACATAGTGGAGCAAGTGACCACTGCATTGTCATGCTTGAATACATAGCAGCTAGTGACCACTGCATTGTCATGCTTGAATACATAGTTTTTTATTAGGGGGTTTTTCCTCCCCCTCACCATACGAGTTGTTAGGCGTCGGCCCCTCCCCGGGCTCGGTTCCTTGTCCTTTGAGTCGGTTGGTTCCGTCCTATAGGTGGGTGCTCTTCTCCATTGCTCCCCCTTTTTTCTTGGAACGGGGTATTTCTGTTGGGTTCCCCTGTTATTGGAGTTCTATGTGACTTTTGATCTCGGGTGTGACTGTGCCTTTGTGTGCCTTTCGGACTTTTGTTTGCTTCTGTGTTCTCGAGGGCTCAGGTAGGTTTTCGCTACTTCCCGTATTATTGGAACGTCTGTCGGCTCCTAGTCCGGGTCGCCGGATTGGGCTACTTGTAGCCCGGTTGGGTTCTCGATGAGGCTCCTTGTCTTCGCTTCGTTGGCTGGTTTTGTTGTCGCTGCTTACTCTTTTGGCTCGTGTCCCATGTGATGGGTTGTTTTTTCTAATTAGCGGTTCCCTAGGGTTGCTTTCTGTTTGGCTACTTTTCTTGTGCAGTAGTCTTAGTTGGCGCCTTCCCGCAGAGCGGGTTGTGCGGTTCGGCCAGCGTGTCCTGCGCATGCGCCGTGGGAGTTTGTTTTGGTCTGGACGGTGTTATTACCTAAGTGTAGTTACAGGATGAGAGCTACGCTCGTGGTGTCCCGTCTTCCCAGCACTCTTTGTCATATAACGCTTTGAAACTACTGATGGTCTTGGCCTCCACCACCTTCTCACCTAACTTGTTCCAACCGTCTACCACACTGTTTGTGAAAGTGAATTTTCTTATATTTCTTCTGCATCTGTATTTAGCTAGTTTAAATCTATGACCTCTTGTTCTTAAAGTTCCAGGTCTCAGGAAATCTTCCTTATCGATTTTATCAATTCCTGTTACTATTTTGTACGTAGTGATCATATCACCTCTTTTTCTTCTGTCTTCTAGTTTTGGCATATTTAATGCCTCTAACCTCTCCTCGTAGCTCTTGCCCTTCAATTCTGGGAGCCACTTAGTAGCATGTCTTTTGCATCTTTTCCAGTTTGTTGATGTGCTTCTTAAGATATGGGCACCACACAACCGCTGCATATTCTAGCTTTGGCCTAACAAAAATCGTGAACAATTTTTTTAGTATATCGCCATCCATGTATTTAAAAGCAATTCTGAAGTTAGAAAGCGTGGCATAGGCTCCTCGCACAATATTCTTTATGTGGACCCTCAGATGATAGTTTTCTATCTAGAACCACCCCTAGATCTCTTTCTTTATCAGAATTCTTTAAAGATTTCTCACATAATTTATACATTGTGTGGGGTCTATGTTCTCCTATTCCACATTCCATAACATGGCATTTAATAACATTAAATTCCATTTGCTAAGTGGTGCTCCATATACTTATTTTGTCCAGGTCTTCTTGAAGGGCATGACAATCATCTAAGTTTCTTATCCTTCCTATTATCTTAGCATCATCAGCAAACATGTTCATATAATTCTGTATACCAACTGGTAGATCATTTATGTAGACAATAAACATCACTGGTGCAAGAACTGAACCGTGTGGTACTCCACTTGTGACATTTCTCCAGTCCGATACATTGCCTTTGATCACTGCCCTCATTTTTCTATCAGTCAGAAAATTTTTCATCCATGTTAGAAGCTTACCTGTCACCCCTCCAATATTTTCCAGTTTCCAGAACAACCTCTTATGTGGAACTCTGTCAAAAGCCTTTTTTAGGTCCAGATAGATGTAGTCAACCCAACCATCTCTTTCCTGTAATATCTCTGTTGCTCGATCATAGAAACTGAGTAAATTCGATACACAGGATCTTCCAGATCGAAAACCATACTGTCTGTCTGATATTATATCATTTCTCTCCAGGTGTTCTACCCATTTAGTTTTAATTATTGTGTTCCAGTGCTGGTGTTTTGTGCCCTTTTTTCTCGGGTGCTTCGCCTCTCGCTCTTCTCCCTTCTCCGGTATGTGCCCCGTCGCTCCAGGGGTGTCCTGGATTACAGCTGTGGGGAGGACGCCAAGGTTTTCCCTGTCATGGGTGTGGGCCTACTCCTTCGCCTCTACCCTGCTTTCCTGCATGTCCAGCTCTGACTTCTTCCCCTGGCAGTGCTCCCAGGATCTTCTTGGCACTGTTGGGTCGTGTCACGTTCATGCCTCCGTTCAGCAGGCGAGTTTCTGCGGTCTGGCGTCTTTCGGCTGGGCACTGGATGCGGAGATATTTATATGCCTGTCTTTATTTAGGTATATTTATGTACAAATATGAGACCGGCAGCACACCGGTGACTGTCCCTTTTCAACCCTTCCAGTCCGTCTCATATGCATGTCCAGCCCATGCTAGAGGCATTCAGGGGACCCACCTCTTCCGTGTTATGAGGTGTGTGGGTTGTGATGCTGGTTATGTACTCACCTGGTTGGGCTCGCCTGGTTGTGCTTGCAGGGTTTGAGCTCTGGCTCTTTGGTCATATGGAAGAACATGTAGAATAGTACCAGTGGAGAGCAGAGGTGCCATAGGCACAATCGGAAAACACTGTATGAACATCAGAGGTCTGCGGTTGTTCAATGTCCTACCTGCAAGCATAAGAAATATTGCCGGTACATCCATGGACATCTTCAAGAGAAAACCAGACTGTTTTCTAAAAGAGGTTCCGGACCAACCTGGCTGTGGTGGGTATGTGGGCCTGCGGGCCGCTCCAAGCAACAGCCTGGTGGACCAAACTCTCACAAGTCAAGCCTAACCTCGGGCCGGGCTTGGAGTAGAAGAACTCCCAGAACCCCATCAAGCAGGTATCGAGCAGATATCTCCGCCGTTGGTCACCTGGTGTGCAGGTTCCTGGGACTGCTGGGCTCTGTCATGTCTCCGTTGGCCCTGTCTGGGGTCGGCCTGGAGTCTGCCTGCACCGTTCTCTGCTTTCGCAGAGACAAGTTGCTACATACATGTTGCATGTTGCTGCTGCACGTGTGCATTGGTACCGGGTTCCGCGGTGGCATGTCCTTGTCCCTGTGTCAACATGTTGTAGTGTGACACTTTGTTGCTGTTTTGTGCCTGGGGTTGCGTGTTGAGGTTTGCTTGTGTTGTTTTTTGTGGTCTTGGGTCCCTGGCTTGGCCCTTCCATGTGCGTGGGTTTCTGTCCTTGCCTGGTTGTCCTCCCCTGGTTATGTTTCCTGGGGTTTGAGTTTTTGCTCTTTTGTCCTGCCTCTTCCCTGTCGCTTCCCTGGCATCTCCTTTACTCGGTTTTGCCTGCACTTGGTGCTGTATGGGGGGGTCGGTTTCTGCCGCTTCCCTTCCTTGTACGTTCCCTTTGTTTCCTCCTCTGCCGCAGGAGTTTCCTTCGTGCGTTCCTTGGCTTCTTGGGTGTTCCTTCTGCCTGTGTCACATGGTGCGCTTATGTGTCTTCGTCTGTTTTCGTTGCTCGTACCCCTTGGGTCGGGTACTGGTCTGGTGGCAACTATTACACCTTCTTCGGTTTTCCTGGCTTGCCCTGCCTGTTGGCTTTTCAGGGTCCCATGATGTCTCGCGTCGAACCCGTCGTTTCCGATCTCCTGGCGGGCTTGCTCGCATTGGGGAGCTTTCTGTTTGCCAGACGTTCCATCTCCTTATTTTCTGGCTTGGGCTTCTTTGGTGGTCACGCCCGAGATCTTCCCACGGCTCTGCCTCTTCTTGGGCTCGGATGAGCCTTGTCGGGGCTGATTACGTTCTGCTTCACATGTCTCGCCTCCGGTTGGTGGTCTCATGGCTTCGTTGTTGGTGTCCCACCTGCGTGATTTTTTTTGGCGGCAGTATGGAGTATTTTGGCATTCCTTCCTTTTCCTCCTGTCCCTTTTTAGGTGTCTGCGGTTGTTAGCGTCGGCTTGGTTTTTCTGGTGGGGGTTGGGGGCTGTCGTCTTGCCACATACTGTCACCTTGTTTCGCGCAGCGCTGACGGGGCTGCTTCGGCTTGCTTTCGGTCTTGGTGTTGCTTCCGCACCGTTAGTAAGCTCTCTCGTGCGTTGTTTCACCTCCTGCCTGTTCATGCGCCACTTGAACTGTCCTGGTCTCTGGTCAGCATGCTCTGTCTTCTCTTCGGTTGGTGATGCCCCTTCGGTTCAGGTTTGTTTCTCGACGGCTCTTTAATAAGAGTGATAAGTCGCCAATATACGTCATTCTTAAAAAAGATGAATATCTGGCGAAAATGAACCTCATTCTCTCTGACCAAACTAAATTCCAAAGGGTAACGAAGGACACTACAGCCAAATTGAAAGCAAAGGTCAACAAATTGATCGAAACTGTGAACGCCAAGAAATCCGGACTCCACCTGCCAAAGATTATTGGGGAATATAAACCTGGATACGCGTATGGAAATGTCAAGACACATAAGCCTGGAAACCCACTTCGGCCAATCATCAGCCAGATACCCACACCCACGTACAGACTGGCGAAGCGACTCAATGGCTTGCTGACTCCTTATGTCCCTTGCGCCTTCTGCCTTAAGTCTCCAAAGGAATTTGTTGACTTACTGCGGGGAACACGGGCCACAGGGATAAGAGCCTCGTTGGACGTAGAATCACTGTTTACCAACGTACCTGTGG